TCTCTCACTGCATAAACACAAACATACTGCTCCGCAGGCAGCTTAAGCCAATATCTGGGAAGCCACAGCCAGTAGGCATGCAGAAATCCTGGAATCCTGGGAAATAATCCATCCTATAACTTGTGCCTTAAACTGTATTTTTAAGCGCAATAATGCCAATGACATTACACATTCTGCCGGGAAACTCTTGGGTGGATTATACAAAATTGTTTTAAATGAACGAAGAGGATCACCTAAACACAAACTATGAAATGTAATTACTGATTATTTTTGTATATAATGTCAATCAATGCCAGTGCATAATAACTTTTTTTTGTCTCTTCAACATAACAGGATTGCCAATAAACAAAATGTGACAAGCCAAGATGTATCACATTTACAGGTTTGACTGCTTTGAAAAACAACCATTTGGTTTTCAACTCAGATGAGTTGAGTTAGTAGCTGTAGTGTAATGGCTCGTTCTTTTCCTTGTAATAACAAAGTCTCTGGTCCACGCCAGCATTTTTTAAAAACAGAGACTCTCCAACAGCTGCAGTGAATTATGCGCTGTGCGCACTGGGACTCTTCCGCCCACCACCTCTCAAGGGTCTCTAAGACCCGAACAACACAAGCCAGGGTTTCCTGAATGGTCCCAATATACTTGATTCAACCACCTTTTACAGACTGATTTCCATTCTTTCCAACATTTATTGGCCTTTTGCATTGTATTAGGCTTACTACGTGCCAACTGAGTTGCTCTGTCTGTTAAATGTGCTTAAAATGCCATATCGCTATGAACTCAAGATCGAGGCCACAAGCGATTCACCTCAGCAGTAGTTCTTGAGGAAAATGCCACGTTTACCCTCTAAAAGCTACAAAGAAAAGTTTCCCTAGGCCTTCATCCAGAGGACAGTTAGCCCCAAGCACATTCCTCAGCGGACTCACTTCCTGTCTCTATACTTTCAACCAACAGACAACAAAAAGATAAACTTTTAAACCAGGCTTTGGCCAAGCACGCGCACAAACATACCCAGAACACAGTCAGCCAAAGTACACTTAACACACAAGTAGTTTCAGAATGTACTCTTTGTATTTCCATAAATAGAAGGCTATTTTTGTGTCTCAGTTTACTAGGAATTTAGCAAGAAAGTATACATAGTAAATAAATGATCGTCAAAGTCTTTAAAATGAAAAAAATGAAGCCAAACCAAAAGGCTAATGTGTTGGTGAAACAAACTTTCACCTAAAATTTCCACATTATAAACACGCTATAAAAACTGAAGCGTTTTACAAAATCACCAGGCAGCAACAATGTTTTATTTGGGCTCCCCAGAATGGATCAATCCCATCTGTGATAAGAGTTATGCTTGTTAAACAAGGCATTTGATCCCTTCCTGTTTGGACTCTCTAACAGACTGCTAGTTCACTTCGGTGCCCGACTCTGACTTAGCGGATCAAAAATGTTGACTCTATGAGCTGTCGTGTAAACTTGTACGGGAATTTCTTTTGCAAATCTCTAGCCAAGATGTGGGAAGAGAAACCATTTCCGTCTTATCTAAGATGTAATGCAAAACAATCTGGGCTTTGGAAATTTGGAAAAACCCAAAGCCCTTGATGTAGACTGGACACAGAGAACTACTTAAAGGGGTCATATGATGCGATTTCAAGTGAATATTAAAGCATGTCAACATATTCTGTTACACCAAATACACAAAATAATGATCTTTAAAAAAGCATCATATGACCCCTTTAATTGTGCAAACACTATCTAGAAAGTCAAGAAATTGTAATAAACAATAATCTCCAAAATACGGAGTCAGTGACTGCTAGACACCACTGCATTCCTACAGTACAGCTTGAACAATTGGGTTGACTGCTCCAACTCTGAATCCATCTCACTTGTTTCCATGAGTCTTTGCCATTTGGTCTCAGAGCAAATAAAGCAGGATATGTTACAAGAATCAGCTTAAAAAATCTTGATGCATGAAGAGGAAATTAGTTCAGTTGTATAGCTACTATTTATCTTTACCAAGGACTAACTGATTTAAATATTATTAACATTTATGCCTCTGTATGAAAATCTAGTGGGTTGCCATTCTGTCTACTATACAAGTGACCGTTTAAGGCAGCATCCTAACTGGAAGGAACCTCATAAGTTTCTGACTGACCACTACATTGCCAAACTCCGAAAGAGTTTGACATTAGCATGTTGCTAAGATAATGATGTAATGCTCTAATAATCATAAAGATACATCGTAGACACTTTTAGGTAAATTGTAAGAATTTTCTTGCCTCATCAGCCAACAGAAACTATCTAAAATGCAACATATTTATTATGGATGCACCAATTCTAAAATTCTGTCCCATACCAATACATTGATAATTATTTTCAGGTTATAGCCGACAAGTTATATTAAATTTCAATACTATTTTGTGAGAAGCCGCTGGTTTGTGCGGCGCGCCGAGGCTGGACGAGGCAGCGGAGCAATAGGGTTTCCCGTCTCTGGGGAGGATCTCGGCACAGCTGCGGAGTAATACTCCAGGATGCACTCCAAAGCACCAGTCGATACGCAGATCTTTACCGAATCTGTTGTTATTTGTCTCGCAGGGTTCCGAGGGAATAAGGAATGGCGGCGTGCCGGATTTTATGTCTGGTGTTCTTTAAAAATTTTTTTTTTAAAAAAAAAAAAAAAAAAAAACACAACTCTAAACACTAAAAATTATTTATTTAAATGCAAGTTCATTTAGGAATCACCACATATTTATATTCATTTTGATTACATTGAACAGTATTATTAAATTATTAGTGTTTAATGATTAACTTGTGAGCTTTAGAAGGTAATTGAAATGTAAAAATGTGAGAAATGAGCGTGCACAATTAAATATTGAATGTAAAAATTTTAAATATATATATATATATATATATACACATATATATATATATATATATATATATATACTGTATATATATATTTATATTATTTTGACACTACGAGTCTACAACACTGTAGTGCAGTAAATGTAAGATTAAACAGGCTGCTCACAATTCATCTTGGTATGAACACATTCCTTCTCAACATAATCTATACAAATTTAATCATTAATACACATCTGGAACAGAAAACAAATTCAGACCTCCTTTATGTGATTCATTACTGATTCTTGAGAATTCCAGAATGACAGTGAGCCATTCCTCCACATGAGCCAGCTAAAATAGTTATAAAATGAAATTATTAATAGGTGTTCCTATCCAAGAGATATAATAAGCTTCAGCAAAACGGTCTTGAATGTTGCTTAACTCTTCTCATTATATCTGATGGACTAAGTGCTTTTGGAGCGAACACCTGCGATGTTAACATTTCTGAAAACAAGCAGAGATGAGCAGTTCACAGCTATTAAATGTGAAGATTGAACCAGGAACTTTAAAATATGTGAAAATTGGTCTTATGATTAACAACTTTTGAGTCCTTCTTCAACAAAAAAGACACTAAATCTTGTAACAGCTGCCAATGAAGTATGCATCCTTTGATAAAGTGGTACAATCTGACATACCAGAATGTCTATTCGAAGAATAACAAAAACATCTTTTTTTTTTTCTTTCTTACAATAAAAGTGCTTTCTACTTCTATGGATCACAGAATGGTTGTTTTGGATATGTAACACAAGGTCCCTTCATGTTTGTACTCTAGTTTTATGACTGATCTTAAATCGAATTGAGTAATGCTGAATTCCTATCATTTGGTTTGGCAAATAAATCTCATAATATACACAAGCTTCTCTGTGCATCTTCTAGGAAAATCCCAATCCTAATAGCATTCCTTCAGCAAGCAGGTTGCTCAAATACACTCTAAAACCCTGTGAGGAGATGCTGAATGACCTCAGCAGGAAGGATTGCTGCGGTTAACTGAACTTAGAGACTTTGTGAGTGTAGGATGATGATGATGTCCCTTTCTGAACTCATTCAGAACCATGAAACAACATGGAAAGCATGACCCGACATGGACGAAGTATTACAGCAGAGAGCTTCAAAGCGTTTACCATCCATACAGAGCCGGGGAATGAGAAGCCCCTGTCGATTTCTATCAACTGCTTGATAAATCCACTAATTGAAAAACAAAACAACTATAGATTAAAGGAAAAAGTGGCATTTATAAATGACTTGTGTCTCTACTTAAACCAATACAACATTTTTCTTTGCTCGGTTCTGTGCTCTAGTAAGTAAAAGCCACATGCAATCAGAATCGTAAGCCAAAAACGTGACAATTCATCGTCCAAAAATTAAATGTACTCTCATCCTCCACTTTTCTGAAGCAGTTGACCACACTGTCATTTGTTTTAAAATTACTTCAACAATTTGAGAAAAACACAACATTCAAGACCAATGTCAGAAGCAGAAATGCGTTAACACTGCCCCCTATTGGTTGAGTTGTTCACTGCACACACAGTTCATGTCCTGTGAAAGAATATAGGCTACAGTAGCCTAGTCCTCTTTCTTACATCGAAAAAAATTGGGATTTTACACTAAACACCTAAATATCAGAATATCATAAGAAAAAAAAACACATCAATCAGTCCTTAAAATATGTATAAATGACATGACATATAGTTATGTCTAATTTCAAACTATACTACAATACTACAAACAATTTGAAAACAATCTCTATGTAAACTGAACAATGGAGCCTCAACTACTGGCTTTTCTTAGTCTGGAATGATTTCTTAGCTAGATTATTTTTTTCTAAGATTTTCATTATACTATTTATTTAAACGTATGTTTCTGAAAACAAAATGGGTATGGAAGCGAGAATTATACATAGGAGTTGAACAAAGGAGAAGAGAAACATAAATGGCATAAATTTATGAAAAAAAAAACATAAATTGTTCAGTTAAACAAGACAATTCTTAACAGCAATTGTGCATTTTGAGTAGTAAACTTCAAGTTTTACTTGCAGAGTGTTGGTTTATAACTCTTTAAACTCTCTAAAAATGGACAATTGTTGTCATGGAAACAACAGTTTTACCTAATAACATGATCTCCAGTTTTTTCCGGTCCACTCGAAACCTCTCCTCGGTCCACTCGGGGTCCGGAGGTGCAGTGGGTCCGCTGGAGTCATCCTCAGACACGGGCAGAGGGGAATCGGCGCTGCGCTCGCTGTTGGAGCCCGGATCAGACTGCTGTAAGTATCCGCTTAAGGGTTCACACTGAGCGGCCATGACTTTCATAGAGCACCGCTGACTCTCCGCAGCCTTCAGATCAGATCATTCCCGCGGAGAGTGAGCGCCATTCATCGCGGCCGCGGGCTCTGTGTGACTTACATTGACCGGAGGAGTATAAAGTGAGGGCAGGCAAAAGAAGAGCGCCGCCCTTTGTTCAATATGAGCCAGAGGAAGGGTGGATGGAAGGGGTCTGTCACAAAACTTAGTGAGCTGCTACTAGACAACATTTTTGGCCCGATAGGAGTCAGCTGAGCCGAATATGATACCCCAAAATGCGGTCTAGTAAGCAGCTCACGTTTAGAGTTTAGAGACACAGCCAGTGTGTTTACAAATGTTTACTTTATTACTGCATGCTATGTTTAACAAAATATGTATAGATAGATAGATTTATTCATAACACCAGTTGCACCCCCCCTTCCCACCAAGGACGGCCCTTACCCTAATAAATTAATCAAATATAAAACTATGTAATATAAATAATATAATATGTAAGGAATATTTAAAAAATATATATATATAATATAATATATGCATTATTACAAGAAAAAAAAAAAATGTAACCTCGGGTGTGCATTATTTTCTAATTCAATGGACCGGATCAATTATTCCGCTTATACTATGGTTACCACACCTCACATATTTTTGAGATGTTGTATGTAAAAACATTCGTCAGGTTTTTGTCCTTAAAACACTCTTATGAGTAGGATTAATTTCTTACACATCTCATCCACCGCCGCTGTAGAGAGAGAGAGAGAGAGAGAGAGAGAGATTGATGTGTGAATTACCTGAGTCTGAGTCGCTCAACAGTGTTCTACGGTGGCCGAGAAGTGTCAAATCACAATTCTGAAAACAAAATAACAAATTACAAACGCAAATGCAAGTCTAAAAAACAAAAATAACAATTCAGAAAGCACAACAACAATTCAGAAAACATTATAACAAGTCAGAAAACACAACGACAAATCCGAAAACAAATTAACAAGTCAGAAAACACAACTACAAATCAGACAAACCAGAAGAGGTAGGTATAGTTTGAGACAGCGCCATTGGTTTGGGATTACTCACCGCTGACTGGACGAGACATCTGTCAATCAACGTATACAGGGAAGAACCAGCCGAAGAACAGCAGAGTCGTGGTAGAAAGTTCGGAGATGGTATTAAAGTAGTTCAGTTTAAATGTATTGTATGAACTGCCCTTACTATGGAATAAAAAATAAAAAAAAAGGGAGGAAAAAAAAGTTCGGCAAAAGGCGGGATCGAACCCGGGTCATCGCATCAAAAAGCCAATGATACGCGCTTATCCATCTGCGCCACTGGAGTCTTACAGTCACTTTTAACTAAATGTAAATAAACACCCCGTATTTTTTATTCCATAGTAAGGGCAATTCATACAATACATTTAAACTGAGCTACTTTAATACCATCTCTACCACGACTCTGCTGTTCTTCTTCTTCTTCTTCTTCTTCTTTTGGTTTTATGGCGG